TAAGCAGTGGGTAAAATGCTGAGGATACTGAGAATGAGTGATTGAGTTTTCATGCTTTTCTTTCCTTGAATGTTTTTTTTATTTCGCATATAAAATTCAGACAAAACTATGGTGAACAATAGAAGTTAAGCTATTAGTTTATTTAAGTTTTATCTGAAAGCTTTATGATTTTAGTGAATCATTTTTACTGGATTTAATAAAGGGGTGTAATGACCAATTTAAGGGGGGATTATCGGACAATTCATATGTGCATTGTCTTAAGAAGTTGCCTTAGATCATTGAAGAATATTGAAGGATAAGTCGCTGATTTAAAAAAGATTATTTTCCAAAAAAGAATTAATTTAAAATGACTGCTTTGATTGATCAGGAATTGATAGATCAGCAATGGTGTAAAATAACCTCAACAAGATAACTAAGTTGATCAATGATTTATTAAATATTGAATGAAGCGATCTGGATGGATAGCTTATTGCTGCAAAATTTATTAGTATTTAATCTGAATTACCTTGTTGTATCAACAGGGTAAACTATTCGCTGCCAGTTTATTTGGAATGGAATTTACGTATCGCTATGAACTATAAAAGATCCTCTGTCATGGAAGAGAAAATGCAACAGAACCGCGAGATGATTTTATTGTCTGCACGAGAACTGGTTGCACAAGGAGGATTTAAAGATGCACAAATTCAAGCGATTGCAGATCGGGCAGGCGTTTCAAGTGGACTGGTCTATCGTTATTTTGAAAATAAAAATCAGGTACTGATTGAAGTTTTAAATGCGGCGATTCATATCGAAGTCAATATTCTCAATGATATTGCACATACCCAACTCAGCGCGCTAGAAAAACTAGATCGGGCCGTCACAACCTTTGTAAAAAGGGCAATGAACAGCCCTCGACTGTCTTATTCTTTATTGTTTGAACCTGTCGATCCTCAATTTGAGTTAGAACGTTTTCAAAGCAAGCAATTGATTAAAGAAAGTATTATTAAAATTTTGACCGAAGGACGTCATTCAGGTGAGTTTATTTTTGAGGATTTAAACACCACGGCATTGTGCATCGTGGGTGCAATGACTTTTGTTGTGATTGAACCTTTAAGTATCGCCAAGACCAAGCGTTTTGATAAAAGCTATAAAGAGTATTTTGTAAAACAAATCGCTGATTTTTGTTTGCAGGCAGTGAAAGTTAAACATCCTCAGGAATAATATTAATCATCATTGCAAGGCTTAAAGAAATGGCAAAGGACTTTAATAATCCAGTTGTAGTTGAAGGATATGATGCACATATTCGTAAATTAATTCCCGGTTATGAACTGATACATTTACAAGTCCATGCTGTATTAAAGAGCTATGTATCGACTCAAGCGAAGATTTTAGTCGTGGGATGTGGTACAGGTTATGAACTGCAATATTTGGCTGAGCAATTTCCTCATTGGAATTTTACAGCAATCGATCCTGCAGCAAATATGATTGATAAAGCCAAACAACATATAGCAGATTTAGGGCTTTGTTCTCGAATTCAGTTTGTGCAAGGTGATACATCTGTTCTTAAACAAGTCGATGAGAATTTTGATGTGGCTTTGGCTATCTTGGTTTCACATTTTGTTCCAGTTGATGCAAAAGCACAATTCTTAAAAGATATTGCAAATCACCTAAGCAGTACTGGTCTATGTTTAAGTTATGAATTGATGGAAATTTCGAATGCCAAACAATTACAAGCTTTAAAAAATCTGAGTTTAGCAACAGGATTAACAGAAAAACAGGCGCAACTTATGGCAGAACGTATTGAACAAGATTTTGCTTTAATTTCTGTTGATGAAATGAGCGCTTTGTATTTACAAGCAGGTTTTAAGCGTGTGGAAAGTTTTGCTCAAGTATTGAATTATCATGGTTTTATTGCATTTAAAACGGACTAAGAAAAACCTCTAAGTAATAACTAAAAATCATTTTTTGCTTTAAAGTAAATCAATTAGTCATATTTCTATGAGCTATATACGCTTATAAAAAAGTTCCTTATCCAAATGGTTGAAGGAACTTTTTTATTGCGGATCATAGTCAAAGCTTAAAAGATTATTTCTCTTTGATTTCTTTTTCGGGTTCTTTCACCACATTGACATCATACAAATGAGCAAGGGCTGAAAGTAAACGAATTTTAGGATCTGCATTTGAAATCTTAATGCTTTGATCCGCTTCAAGTGTGATTAATTTTTCAGCAACAAAATAATCGACAATTTGTGTGATTTCACTCTCAATTTCAGACTCATCCCATTTTAAAAAGAAGGCTTTTTGAATAAGTGGGTATTGTTCGATGACTTGGGTATATAAATCAGATTTTGAAATCTCAAACAGCTGCTGCTCTGTTTCAACGCGCAATACTTTGGCAATGAGTGCTGGCAGTATAAACGTGTGCAGAATGTTATTACTGAAATACTTAAGCAGGCCCACCTGTATATCACTGACTTTCACCCAGCGTTCATTATCATGCTCAATCAATTCAACTTGTTTTAGCTTCATGGCATATTGAATGATTTCTGTGTTGGAAAGCTCGGTGATTTGCATACGATCATCATAACGATGCTGTTTGAGTAGATTGCGGAATTGTTCTAAACGTACCAATACTTCACGCTCTGCCAAAGCATGCGTTGGTGCATTTAACAAGACCAGAGAAATCAAACTAATAGGATTAATCACCACGGCTTTATTGATATTTTCCAAAATATCAAATGCAACATCATTGACCGTGGCTTTAACAGACTCAGGTATCTCTTCATGCAAAGCAACACGTTGTGGAGCATTGTTCTTTTTTAAGATATCTTCAAGGAAAACCGGTTCACCTAAATTGACATGGACAACACCAAAGACTTTTTCAATTTTTTGAATAGATTTAAGTAGTCCAAATAGTGACTCAGCTTGTTTTTTCTGCCCACCCAGCTCTTTTATGTATGAACTGCCTTCGATCAGTTTTTCATATCCAAAGTAAGTCGGAATAAAGGCAATCGGTTTACTATTCCCACGCAAATAACTTTGGATGGTCATTGCGAGCATCCCTTTTTTTGGCGGCAATAAAAGTCCAGTACGAGAACGACCACCTTCAATAAAGTATTCCATCGGTGTATTTCGATTGAGCATACTGTAGATATATTCTTTAAAGACAGCGGTATAAAGCGCATTACCATTAAAGCTACGTCGAATAAAGTATGCACCTGCACCACGCATCAGTTGTCCAACCACAGGCATATTTAAATTAATACCTGCTGCAATATGGGGAACCATCAAGCCACGGTTATAAATCACATAAGACAATAACAAATAGTCAATGTGGCTGCGATGACAAGGGGTATAGACAATTTCATAATCTTTGGCAAGTTCACGAACCGTATCGAAATTATGTACTTCGATACCGTCATAGAGCTGGGTCCATAATTTAGTTAAAGCAATTTCAGCAAAGCGTAAGGTCGAATAAGAAAAATCAGAAACGATTTCATCGAGGTATTTATGCGCGAGTGCTTCGGCTTCATTGATGCTGATTTTTTTATGAATGCTTTCATTGAGAATGGCTTCTTTGACTGCATCACTCAGCATGAGTTTGTTAATCACATTGCGACGATCTGAAATATCAGGACCAAGAATTGCTTCTTTATAGCCATTAAATTGTTTATTGAGCTCAGTCACCACATAATGCGCTGGTGAAAAATTGGGTGTGAGTTCAATGGCTGAGTCAATTAACTGGCGTAAAGAAACTGCTTGATGGAATTCAATATAATTATTACGGCCATACAGGGTAATGTTGAGTGCTTGTTTAATGCCCGTTGGCTTTGCCCAAGCATCAGTCATCAATGCTTTATACCAGCTATCTTCATTCTCTGGTGCACGTCCCCATAAAATCGTTGTTGGTACTAAAAGCACATCTTGCTCAGGATGTTTCAATAAATATTCGATTAAGCGAATAATTTTATCTGGGTAGTATGCAGAAGCATTGCTTTTGGTTGGTTCTAAAGTGATAAAACGATCATCTTCCTGATAATCTGACCCTAGGTTAAGTGGCGCAAAAGCAGGGCTGAGTTTTCTTTTTTCTGTTTCATTGTCAATCAAGACTTTATTTGAAGTTGAGTCATCTTGAATGACATAGCAAATCGGAAAATTAGCTGTGTTTGGATCATTAACTGTATTTTCAAGAGTTTTTGTATCGCCTAAAACTTGTGGGCTGACGATTTTATCTAAGATTTTTTTTGTAAATTGACGATAAAATTTTTGATAAGCATTGCTTGCCATAATATTCTCTAAATATGAGTCATATCGTTATTATGCTTGAAATAATATACAAATATATAGTTTGATTTGACGACAAATCGGTCAAACACTTTGCCTAAAAACTAAACTCATGATTTTTATCAATAAACTATTTCGATATTGGTATAATTAAATTCAGTTACTCAATATCAAAGTTTCATAGAAAAGCATTATGATAGATTGATATAAATTCATTTAAATTCAAGGAAAGGTCATGTCTACAGATCCAAATTTTCCAGCAACTGAAAACTTAGGTATTGCTGTTTATTCTAATAATGCTGAGGCAATTGGGAATACACCACTTATTCGTATCAATCGTCTTATTACAGGTGGCGCAACGGTCTTAGCAAAAATTGAAAGTCGTAATCCTGCTTTTTCTGTTAAAGATCGAATTGGCGCTGCACTTATTGCAGATGCAGAAGCGAAGGGGCTTTTGAAAAAAGGCATGCATATTGTAGAACCAACCAGCGGGAATACTGGTATTGCATTGGCATTTGTAGCAGCGGCAAAAGGTTATGCCATCACTTTAACCATGCCAGCAAGTATGAGTATAGAGCGCCGTAAAGTATTAAAAGCGTTGGGTGCAAATTTAATTTTAACTGAGCCCGCAAAAGGTATGAAAGGCGCAGTTGATGAGGCAGTACGTTTAGCAACTGAACAACCTGAAACATATTATTTACCGCAACAATTTGAAAACCCAGCCAATCCTAAAATACATGAGACAACAACTGGTCCGGAAATTTGGGCAGCCACTGGTGGTAAAGTCGATATTCTTGTTGCAGGTGTTGGAACTGGCGGTACCATTTCAGGTATTTCAAGTTATTTTGAAAAGGTCAAGCAGCAGGCGATTTACTCCGTTGCTGTAGAACCCGCAGATTCACCAATTATTGGACAAAGCAAACGTGGTGAAAATTTAACGCCTGGGCCACATAAGATCCAAGGGATTGGTGCAAACTTTATTCCGAAAAACTTGGATTTAGATTTAGTTGATGAAGTTATTGCTATCGACAACCAAGAAGCGATTGATTTTGCTCGTCAAAGTGCCACTCAAGAAGGTATTTTTGTCGGTATTTCTAGTGGTGCGGCTTTAGCTGCTGCAGCAAAATTAGCTGCTCGTCCTGAAAATGCAGGCAAAACCATTGTGGTCATTCTTCCAGATGCGGGTGAACGTTATTTGTCTTCCGTTTTGTTTGAAGATATTTCAGCAGATTAAGTTTGAATTAAATGTTCTATATCTATGCTGTGTATTGTTGTCATGGATAAAAAAATAAACCCGCTCAAGTATCAGCAAGAGTGGGTTTATTTTATTGATATTCAGTTTCTATTCTTAAATTTCTATAAAGAAGACTTTAACTGTTTTTCATGTTGTTTGACTTGTTTCGCGTATCGTTTACCTTGACGTTTCATTTTACGGTTTGATTGGTAATTTGTGGGTCCAACATTGTAGTAGGCTAAAGCTTTTTTCCAGCTTCCTGCACTTTGATTGTATTTAGCCAAGATCATGGTGCCACAGCGCACATTGGTATATTCATCAAACAAATCACCAGGGCAGGCTTGTTGCCAATAACGCGGCATGATTTGGGTAAGCCCAACAGCACCAGATGGAGAGGTGACATAACTCCGATAGCTCGATTCTTGACGGATGGTTGCTGCAATCAGTAAAGGATCTACATCATACTGATCCGCACTTTGTACAATCATTGGGGATACACGATTGGCAACATCGGGAGAGACAGAATAGGCTTTTTGGATTCCAGTCGAAAGTTTAGCAGCACGTTTTTGCACAGAGCCACCACCCAAAGACGAACATGCTGTGATCGCAAGTGTTAAGCCCACTGTAGAAATTATTTTTAACTGATACTGAAAATTCAAAATAAAACCAATGTTATGTATCCAAGATTGCCCTGATGTTAAGTAGCTGATTTAAACCTGTCAATCTATGAAAATTGGTAGATTTATTCGTGATTTGTATCTTAAGCTTCTGGTTGCTTGCTATTTATGCGTTATTGCTTGAAAAATTAATTTGTTTAAGGTGTTGAAAGATAATTTTTATTTTTGTAAGAAAAACTTAATAAAATGCTTTAAATTGTAAGCGAAATTTGATAAAAAAGATTGTTGATGAATACAAAAATTGTTAATAGATATGGCTAAAAAATATAAGCACCACCTAATAAGAATAGTCAAGGACTGGCAAGGTGAAGACTGGGATGTTTATGAAGAAGTGCAAACCTCAGTTGGCGTTATGGTTTATAGAGGATGGAAGTATAGATATAGAACAGGAACTTTTGCCATTATTTTTAGCGCTGAGTTAGCTGAGTTTTTAAGACAAAATGGACTATATTACGCATCAGAACAACTTGGAATATCAGTATCTAAATTAAGTCGCCTTCGTTGAGAATTAAATATTCAGAAAAAGATTTCAAAGCCTGACCATACTTGGATTAAAGCACATCAAACTGAAATACTTAGGGTCTTTTGACATTTCATAAATGGCTTGCGTTGTAGGTTAAAATTGAGCAGACAAGGCATGAAACGAAGAGAATAGCGAGACTATTTTCGAGTTTCATAACGAAGGCTGAGATAATTTTAACCACAACCCTTCGGGACTAGCGTATTTTTTGCCGCTACGTCGTTACGAACTACTTATTTAGAATGACTAAATTTCATATTTCGCGTCTAGTATCGCCTAAAAAACACACGTAGTCGCAAACGTAGACGAATTGTCAACAGACCCGAATGAAAGTTATCAACTATTAAATGAAAAATATGGACTTAGCAAAAAACAAGTGCGTAGTTATACTTGTTATTTGCTTAAGTATGCTGGTGTACTTAGATCGAAACCGCTTCGTACAACCCAGCAACAAATTCAAAATGAACAATGGTATCAACAAAACAAGCAAGCAATGGTTGATATGACTGTGAAGCAAATCAGCCAAACTTATGGTGTTTCGAGTGCTAAAGCAGGGAAAGTTTATATGAGAATATGTAGAGAATTTCAATTGCCTATGTTGGCGGATCGAGTACAAAAAAGAGTTGAGCAACGTCGAAAATGGTTAATTGATAATCAAGAGCAAATATTAAGAACGGATATTAGGATTAAGCAAATCGCACAAAACTTAGATCAAACAGAGAAGCAAATTTTGCATGCTCGTACGCTACTTAAAATAATATTAGAAAATAAGGGGCGGTGAAATAATACCAATAGATAGACAAATCTGTATAGACAATGAACAATTTTTTTGCGTATAATTGATAAAATTTAGAAAAACTACACAATAACTTATGTTGAATAATATTTACTCTGCCTTGGAGCAGCTTGGAATTACGGCACAAAAGCGTGTTTTGCATATTCAATTTAGCAATCCTGATTTGACTGCTCAAGTGTTCCTACAACGTATTGATGGGATGCATGAATTAAACAAAGGCATTCATTTACAATTGATTTGCTTGTCGACGTCAATGAATATTCCATTAAAGCAATTTATCAGTAGCCAAGTGGCTGTCGATATTGTGAATGACAAATCAGAACTCAATCGAATTTCAGGGATTGTGACCCAAGCAGATGTGGGCGCGAGCGATGGTGCGCTGACGATTTACCGCCTGACAGTTGAAGACCCAACAGCACTTTGGAAGCATCGTAGAAATTCCAGAGTGTTTATGAATATGTCTGCGCTTCAAGCAGTTGAAGTTATATTTCAGGAATGGCGTGAGCGAAGCCCATTATTTGCTTCAAGTCTAACATTGGATAAAACTGGCTTGACCAAAGACTACGATGTTCGCCCATTTATTATGCAGAATAATGAACGGGATATAGACTTTGTTCAACGTCTACTTTTTTCTGAAGGTATTAATACTTTAATTGATGAAGCCCAACTTAAAGTATCGAATTTCAGTGAACAAATTCAGCCTCAAAAACTTCGTTTGATTGACAACAATACTCAATACACCAGCTTAGAACGCAAAAGCATCCGCTTTCATCGTAGCAGTCCCACCGAAAGGCAAGACAGCATTATCTCATTTATTGGACAGCGTTCTATTCAGCCTACATCAGTACATATTCAACGTTGGCAAGCCGATGTATTAGATATAGATGAAGGTGCAGGCAATGTACAAAGTAAGCATCAACATAGTGAAAACTATGACAATGCTAGTCTAGGACTAGAGCAAGTTTGGTACTTTAGTCCAGCATGGATTCAAGATCTCAATGGAGAAGATGGTGTAACTCCATCAGGCAACAGTCAGGTTGAACGCTTTAACCAAAATATGAGTAACTACTATGACTCACAAGCCAAACAATTTACCGCAATATCTACAGTACGTGATGCACATGTGGGTTATATCTTTGAATTAAATGGGCATCCCGAAATTGATCAACATGATTTTTCAGATAAGCAATTTCTGATTACATCGAAACACTTTTATAATCAAAACAACCTACCTAAAGACCTAACCAATCAGGTTGAAAATTTGCTTAAGCAAAGCAATTGGCAAATAACAAATATCACGACAAACAATAGTGATGAACGCCAAGCCAATCAGTTGGTGCTGCAACGTCGAAATATCACCACTGTTCCAGAATACAATCCACTAAAACATCGTCCGATTGCATCACCCCAACGTGCCAGAGTGGTTGGACCAAGTGGAGAAGAAATCCATGTGGATGAGTGGGGACGGATCAAAGTACGTTTTCTGTTTACCCGCAATCAAGATCATAGCCACGATGGTGGTGCCGGTTCCAACGATAACGACACCGATTCAGCTTGGGTAGATGTCCTGACGCCGTGGGCTGGTGAAGGCTATGGTGCACGATTCTTACCGAGGATTGGTGAGATTGTCGTGATTGATTTCTTTGATGGCAACATAGACAGGCCATTTGTGGTGGGGCGTATTCATGAAGCGCATCGCCATCCAAGTAAGTTTGATGACAAAGGTAAACTGCCTGATACCAAAAAACTGGCAGGAATGAAAAGTCGAGAGTATAAAGGTAGTGGCTATAATCAACTCAGATTTGACGATACCACAGGCCAACTCAGCAGTCAGTTACAGAGCAGTCATGGAGCGAGTCAACTCAACCTCGGTAATTTAAGTCATCCCAAAGAGACAGACACTAGCGAAGGACGAGGTGAAGGCTATGAACTGAGAACTGACCAGTGGGGTGCAGTAAGAGCAGGACAAGGTTTACTCGTCAGTACTTATGCTCAGAATTCAGCTTCGGGTAATCACCTTGATGTGACAGCAGGCAAAAATCAATTAGAAAGTAGCCTAAATAACTCTAAAGCATTAAGTGAAGTTGCCAAGAATCAACAGACTGATCCTTTAGAAGTTTTAGATAATATCAAAGGTTTTATCGACATACTTGCTCAGCAAGATTCGAAAAAGGCAGATGAATTTAAGTCTGCGGTGATGATGTTGGCTTCACCTAATTCAATTGCATTTGCAAGTAATGAAGATATTCATCTTTCCTCAGATGGGCAAATTAGTCATAGCGCAGGTGACAGTATTAACCTGAGTACACAAAAGGCTTTGATTGGACATGCCAGTGCTAAGATTAGCCTTTTTGCGGCACAAGAAGGCGCAAAGTTATTTGCAGGAAAAGGTAAAGTTGAAATTCAAGCACAAGGTGATGGGGTGGATTTGATTGCACGTAAAGGCATTCAAATCATTTCAACCGAAGATGCAGTTTATATCATCAGTCCGAAAGAAATTAAGTTGGTCAGTGATGGTTCTGAACTCAAGATCAATGGTTCAGGTGTGTTCTCAACCACAGGTGGTTTATTTGAGGTGAAATCTGGGCAACAGAAACTGACTTCCCCAGCTTCTATAAATCCGCCAGCTTTAGACTTGCCTGATTGCTCTGCGAAACAAGGACAGGCAGCTCAAAATGGATCAGCGAAGGTGATCTTATGATGAGTGAAAACTATCTACAACAAACGGCGATATCCTCTGAACTTCATTCCGTAGAAGCAATTTATCAAAAAATGCAAGCAGTTTTTAGCCAGCATCATCGGCTGTTAGTATTGCTTGATGAAACATTAGCGCCCGATGTTTTTGATGATTTAAAGAAGTGTTTAAGAGAACACAATATTATTTATATTCCCTTGGCAAAAGGCAATCGCTATAAAGACACACATCTGTTTTTTATAGAAATATTAGATGAAAAGATATTAAAAGAGATCGGACCACAGCTAGCAGAACATTTACTTAATAATTTTGAAATTTCCAATGATCAGTATTTAGTACATGGTTTTGGGGCATCTCAGTATGAAAATGATCAGTTGAATCAAAAATTTAAAACCAGTTTGGTGTTGCAAGATATTGAATCCAAAATTTTATTTCGATGGTATGACCCACGAGTAATGATTTATTTAGATCAAATATTCAATGAACAGCAAATGAATAGTTTATTGGGAAATTTTACTCAATGGGAATTTATCCATCCTAGTGGATATTTTCATTGGGAAAATATCCAACAGAAAAAATTGCTGAAAAAAGCCATTACGCAGGTGAATGAACAACAATCCTTAGCTTTAGATTTGATTGAAATGAGTAACATTGTTTTTCGAAAAGCACATGAATTAGAACAAGTCGAAATCAATCATTTGAAATCACAACAGATTCTTAAAAATTTATATCAAGGACATGAACAATACCACATTACCAGA